AAAAAAAAAAAAAAAGAATTGTACGTCGACTTTCAGTTTTTCACAGCCTCAGCCTAGCAAAAATGGTCCATGGGATAAGCAGCTGGTATTTGTATCTAAAACTCAGATTGGTCACATAAATGCCACGGCATTCTGAAGTTTTGATTTTGATGAACATTGACAGGATTACTGTGTGTTTAATTTTTTAAAAAAACTGAACACTGTGATTATGGGGTTTTGTAATTTAGCAGAACTCTTACTGGTAGAAAACAAAATAGACCTGAATTATGTGTAACTTTTTGGAAAGTTTAATTCAATTCAAAACAGTCAGTGAAACACAGTTCCATTGTAAAGTTGTACAGAAAGTTATAGAGATTATATTGTGACACTGGGACTTGGAGTGAGACACCTCTAGTTTGGCATTCGAGTTTCATGGTAATTCACAGCGATTCTGCCTGTTCTGTTCAGGGTTTGTAGACACTTGACCCGTTGGGGCTGTTGCCACTCAAAGGTTCATGACTGCGGATGGCCACAGTGTCTTCCTCTGAGGATAGTCGAAGCCAGAAATTAACATTCTTGGTGGCAGATACCTGGCTTAGGACACCATGCAGAGGTCCAGTGCTCACAGGCCACACGTGATTCCAGCCCCTTTCCTACAGCAGCATGTTACTGATTGGCAACTTGTGCTTCCATAGTGGAATCTGTTTTCCCTGTAACCACGAGCTCAAGAAGGAAAAAAAAAAGCCGTGTATCTTATGAATGGCCTTATCTGTTTCCTGGGTAACATCTTTAAGAATAATGTTCTGCAGAGATTGCCTTTCACTTGAGGAGTAAGTACTCAGTCTTTAGGTTCTTCCTGGCTCGGGGCTTTAAAATTTTGAAATCTAAACATTCTTTCCCACTGTCCTTTTTGACTATTGACTTTGGTTTTCTCTTCTCTCTCTCAATTTCTGTCCTTCAGCTTCCTTACATTGTTTTCTTTGTGCGTTCTCTTTCTCTTTGCCTTCTGCTCACGGTTTAGTACTAGATGAGCAGGGACAGGGGACCTGGAGGGGGTGAGGGATGTTGATGAGCACTTCAGTGAGCCAGCCTTGCTTCAGAGACTTGAAAAGAGCTTCCCGCATCTCAGCTCTGTCTTCTTCCAGTTCTCAGAACGGTGGTTGCTCTTCAGTCACACCAAGATCTGACTCAGAAAAGTATTTTTAAATATCCATGGTTTCTCCTTACATTGCAGCCAGCCCTGATGATGCTTGTTAGCACCTGTCACCAGCTCTCCCAAGTGTACCCATCCTGTCAAGTTCACAGACACGTTTCAACAAGACCCTGTAATGCAGGGAAGTTGCATGAACACTGCGATGGGGAGAGTTGGGAATAGCCAGGCCTACCAGTCTCACAGTATCCCCCCCTCTCCCCTGAACATTCCCCATAGCCGTAGTGTCCATCTGTTTGTCCATCTGCTGAATTGAGAAACATTCATGCACTGATTTCAAACAAACCAAAAGGAAAAAAAAGAAAAAAAAAATCCCTCTCCTTTCTAGCTGAACAAAAATGTGCAGTTAATACTTGGCGCTTGAAAACGCAGTAGTGAATGTGGAACGAGCCTGTCTGTATATCTGGTAGCTCTCTCTTGCTTTGTTTTTCCTCACCAGTATTCTGCCTCACGTTTGCTTCTGTGATGGTTTTATTGCCTAGCAAGCACACCTGTGGTTGTGAAAATAGTATAGCAAAAAAGAAAAAACCCCGGTTATTGATGTACTCGATTTGTGTATGTCTTTTAAAACAGTTCTAGTTTCCACCTTACACGGAATAATCAGGAAAAGTGTAAAAACTCAAAAGTGAAATAAAAAATTTTATCAGTTAGTTGGCCTGTGCATTGATGTGTGGCGCCACCTGTATCACCACCAGAACTAGCTAACTGTTCTGATCACACTTACTTAGGGTTCTACTCCTTAAAAGGAGGGAGAAGCTTCATTTCGTCCTTTAGAACCAGAAGTCGAGAGCCTGGGAAGAAATTGCCATAAATTAACACAGAGCCTGTCCACCTTCCACAACAAACCATCCAGGTATTAGGTCCTCTCTGTGGCTTCTAAGACTTGATGTGGACTGTTAACTTAGCATCCCACTCATACAGCACCACCACCACTTCCTCTTTTTTAAAAAACTCTGAGATGTAACCAAGCCAGTGAGAGATGGTAGCCTAAGTCCTGGTCATCTCCAAGGTTATACAAGTCTCTCACCTGTCCTAACACTGTCTAAGATAGTCCGTGGCACCGAGTTTCCTCATGGGATTTGCCCCCATCTAAAAACATCCACATTGGGAATTCCCTGGTGCTCCAGTGGTTAGGACTTTGCGCTTTCACTCACAGGGCCCAGGTTCGATCCCTGGTCAGGGAACTAAGATCCTGCAAGCCACAGGGTGCAGCCAAAAAAAAAAAAAAAAAAGTAAAAACGTCCACATTCCCACAAGGATCGGGGAGGGGGTCATGACAGGGAGGTATTTAAGCCCCAGATTAGAAGTGGTTGTTAACTTTCTTGCTAGTATAGGCGGGGCAGCCAGACCCACTTCTGCTCCTGGCTTCCAAGCTGTTCCACCTGCTGTGCCCAACCAGAGGTCAGTGGGAAGCTACCTGTTCTATTGAAGCAGGAGCTAGGAGAGGCCCAGTGAAGTATCTGTCCACAGTGGAGTGGACCAGCTTTTTTCAAAAATGACCCTACACCACAGATTGGGGCTGCAAACTAAGATTGAGGGAGGGGTCTTGGTACTTGGTTTGGGGCCACTGCCGTGACCTTGTTCTGTTAGGCCCCTACTGTTTCCATAGAGGCTGGGTCCCAAAGAACTTGGTGAGCCTTCGTGGTGGAGCGCAGGTGGAGTGGATTCGTTGAGAAAGGTGCTCAGGATACGTCCCACGAAAAGGTCTTGGCAGTAGAAGAACCAGGGTCAAGGAAGGCCTTGGTGGTCTGCAATTCTCACACGGAGCCTTCGGCCCCAAACCACCAAGCCGGTTCGAGAAGGCTGGGACTAGATCCGGGCTGTCTTGAGAGAAAGCCTCCTCCCAGGAGGGTAGGTACGCAAAGTTTTGAAACAGGGCATCCTCGCGATTCTCCCGTTTGTGTGTGAAACGTGCAGAGCACACGCTCGCCTTTAATCCTTGTGTAAAGGGAATCCTCCCAACTTCACAGAGAAGGGAAACGGGCGCAGGAGAACAATGACTAATGGGGATTAGAACCCAGGTCTCCTACCGTGGTATCTCCGCCCTCTCTGCGCCGCTGGCGCCGGCTCGGAGCTCCCCCCACGTCCCCGCAGCCCTACCCGGGGCCAGGTGAGGGCTCTCCCCGCCTCCCGTCGCGGGGGCAGAGATGCCCCCCACCTGGGGCTTCTAGAAGGCTGAGGGGTCCCAGGTGCGGGGCGGGGTCCGAGCGCGCCCGCGATTGGCGCGCGGGGCGGCGGGGGAGGTAAAGGCCAGGGGCAGAAGGGGGTGGGAAGAACCCGGCCGCCCCGC